ATTTCTGTATACCAATAACAAATTCACTGAGAGGGAAATTAGGGAAACAGTGTCTTTCACAATAGCATCAAGAAAAATGAAACACTTAGAAATTAAGTTAACCAAGGAAATGAAAGACTCCTATAGGGAAAATTATAGTATTCTGAAAAAGAAGATCAAAGACGATATCAGAAAATAGAAAGGTATCCCTTGCTCCTGAGAGGCAGAACCAATATAGTTAAAATGGCCATACCTCCAAAACTGTTATATAGATTTAATGCAATCCCAATCAAAATGTCAATAACATTTCTTACAGAACTAGAGAAGGCAATCCTAAAATTCATATGGAACCAGAAGAAACCTAGAATAGCAAAAGCAATTCTGGGCAATAAGGGCAGGGTAGGTAGCATCACAATCCCTAACTTGAAACTATATTACAAAGCTATCATAATAAAAACAACAAAAAAACAGACTTGTGTATCGGTGGAACAGAATAAAAGATAAAGAAACAACTCGAGGCACACTCAGGTACGTGATCTTTAACAAAGGAGCCAAATCCCTTCACTGGAGGAAAGACAGCCTCTTTAACAAATGATGCTGGAAAAAATGGCTTTCCACCACACCAAAGATTGAATTTAGACCCATATCTCTCACCATAGACTAAACTAAAATCAAAATGGATCAAAGATCTCAACAATAGAAAAGAAGCACTTAATCTGCTGGAAGACAGAATAGGTAAAACTCTAAGATATAGGTGTATGCAAAGACTTTCTGAATAAACCCTCAGTTGCATAAGAAATAATACCAGGAAGCAACAAATGAAATAACATTAAATTAAAAAGCTTTTGCAAAGCAAAAGAAACCACCAAAAAGTGAAGACACAAACTTTACAGTGGGGAAAAATGTTGCCAGCTACTCTTCATACAAAAGACTGACATCTAGAATATATAAAGAACTCAAAAAAATTAGAACCCCCAAATTTAAAGAATAAAAAAAAGGGCATCTGAAATAAATAGATACTTCTCAGATGAGGAAATACAAATGAGCAATGGATACATGAAAACATGTTAAACATCACCAGTCATTTGATAAATTCAAATTAAAACATTAACCTTCCATCACCATGGGTGTAGTGGGGTAGGACTATAATCCCAGCACTCAGGAGGCTGAGGCTGAGGCAAGAGAATTGCTGTGAGTTCCAGGACATCCTGGGACAGTCAGTTTAAGGCCATCCTGAACTACATAGTGAGACCTTGTCTCAAAAAATAAATAAATAAATTCCATATCACCCCAGAAAAAATGGCTACCATCAAGAAGTCAATCAATAGCCAATCTGGCAAGGCTGAGGGGAGAAAGGAACACTTCTTCATTGTTGCTGGGATTGTAAATTGATACAAAACTATGGAAGTCAATATGGAGGTTCCTCAAAAACTAATAATAGAAATTCCACTTGACTCACTTATTCCTTTTTTAGATATCTTCCTCAAAGAGTTAAAAAAAAAATCACACCACAGTGATGTATGTACAGTGATTTACATATAGTCCCTGACTTATGAACAAATTCTGTTCTGGAAGAATGTTCCTAAGTCAGATTCATTTGTAAATCCAACAAAGTGAGTCTTACACACCTTGGACACAAATATACAATGTATAGCATAAAAAATCAAATACACAAAAATATTGCAAGTGCCTGGCTGTACTGTGTTATTGTACTCTATTGCACTGTACAATAAATGCACAGCAGCACAACTGTGATAACGTCTGCCAGACCTGCGAGCTGCTTCCACAACTTGTTCACATCTATGAGTGTTTGTAATGCGAGGACTGTTCATATCTGTAAAAGTTCGCAACTCTAATGTTCATTAAGTCGGGGACTTACTGTTACCCATGTTTATAACAGAAAAACTCATAATAGCTAAAGCTTGGAAACAGCCTATATCCCCATCAACAGATGAATGGATTAAGAAAAGGTGGTATTTCAACACACTGGAGCACTACTTTGCTGTAAAGAAAGATGAACTTGAGACATTTGTAGGAAAATGGGTGCACCTTGAGACCATAATGTGAAGTAAATCAGATACACAAGCTGAACATCACATGGCTTCCATCCTATGAAAGTTAATAGGAAAAAAGACAGGAGAAAAAGTTATTGCATTTTAAGTATGTTTCTGCTGTCAGTTTCTAATTCCACTCCAAGATGGTGTAAGAGATCACTTGGCCGGATTTCCATTTCTTTGGATGTTGAGGTCTTTATTGTTGCCATAAGCAGGTCTAGTTCGAATTTTTTTTGGTACCAGGAATCAAACTCAGGACCTTGTGCTTGCCAGGCAGGCACTTGTGCCACTGAGCTATATCCCTGACCCTCTATTTTGAATTTTTAAAAAATTCCCAGAAGAGGAGAATTTATGAAGACAGAGAGTAGCTCAGTGATTACCTAGATTTAGGAGGGAGGAATTGGGAGATGATAGCTAATTGGTACAGTGTTTTACTGTGGAATAATAAAAATGATCTAAATTTGATCATGGTCATGGTTGTATAACTTTGCCAATGTGCTGGAACTACAGGCTCAACTCAGTTCTTGAAAATTCTTCAGCTGGGCATGGTGGTGCATCCCTGTAATCCAAACACTCTGAGAAGCAGGGGATCACAAATTCCAGCCCAACTTGGTAAACTGAGTAACTTAAACACACAAGGGCTCAGAATTTCTACAAAGCCTGAGGATGCAGCTCCGGGGAAAGACCCTCTGAGTCCCCCAGTATTGGAATAAAAAGAAAGAGAATTCTTCAGACATAAACAATTGTGTCTATAAATACTCCTCCTGCAAGATGAACTAACAGTCTCATATCTATCAAGCTCTTTTTCCCACATAAGCATTATTAATGAAATAAAATACCACAATGATCGTATTTCTTCAAATGTCAAAGTCCCCCTTTTAAGCCCTGGTTTTGATACATATACAGTGCATAACCTTGCATCTTTGTGATAATCTCTCATACCTCTGTGCCCCACGC